TGGCACTTTGGGGCGGGGGCATAATTTGCAGGCTGGTCGGGTCCCGTTTTGAAGGTTTCATGCAGCCTCGTGGCATCAGGGCACGTTTAAGAGCAGAGAGCGTGTGTGCGGCAGGCTGAGCCCGGGCGAAGCCGCACAGGCGAGTCCCCCGCAAGGAGGCGGCCCCTACGCCCAGCCCGGCCCCGAAGCCCGGCCCCGCCGCCTCCTGCCTCGGCGGCAGAAATGTCTCACGGGGGCTTTTCTTCTCCGCAGGCCAAACTCAAGGAGATCAGCCTGTCCACGGTGCGGTTCATGGAGGAGCTCGGGGAGGACCGCTTCGGGAAGGTCTACAAAGGCCACCTGTTCGGCCCGGCGCCGGGCGAGCAGACCCAGGCCGTCGCCATCAAGACGCTGAAGGACAAGGCGGAGGGGCCGCTGCGGGAGGAGTTCCGGCACGAGGCCCTGCTGCGGGCGCGGCTGCAGCACCCCAACATCGTCTGCCTGCTGGGCGTGGTGACCAAGGACCAGCCCCTCAGCATGGTCTTCGGCTACTGCCCCCACGGCGACCTGCACGAGTTCCTGGTCATGCGCTCGCCGCACTCGGACGTGGGCAGCACGGACGACGACCGCACGGTCAAGTCCGCCCTGGAGCCGCCCGACTTCGTGCACGTGGTGGCGCAGATCGCGTCCGGCATGGAGTACCTGTCCAGCCACCACGTGGTCCACAAGGACCTGGCCACGCGCAACGTCCTGGTGTACGACAAGCTGACGGTGAAGATCTCGGACCTGGGGCTGTTCCGCGAGGTGTACGCGGCCGATTACTACAAGCTGGCCGGCAGCGCGCCGCTGCCCATCCGCTGGATGTCCCCCGAGGCCGTCGTGTACGGCAAGTTCTCCGTGGACTCGGACATCTGGTCCTACGGCGTGGTCCTGTGGGAGGTGTTCAGCTACGGCCTGCAGCCCTACTGCGGGCACTCCAACCAGGACGTGCTGGAGATGGTGCGCAGCCGGCAGGTGCTGCCCTGCCCCGACGACTGCCCCGCCTGGGTGTACGCCCTGATGATCGAGTGCTGGCACGAGTTCCCCAGCCGGCGGCCCCGCTTCAAGGACATCCACAGCCGGCTCCGCGCCTGGGGCAACCTGTCCTCCTACAACAGCTCGGCGCAGACGTCGGGGGCCAGCAACGCCACGCAGACCAGCTCCCTGAGCACCAGCCCTGTGAGTAACGTCAGCAACGCCCGCTACGGTGGCCCCAAGCAGAAGGCCCAGCCCTTCCCGCAGCCCCCGTTCATGCCCATGAAGGGCCAGATCAGACCCATGGTGCCCCCGCCCCAGCTCTACATCCCCGTCAACGGCTACCAGCCAGTGCCGGCCTACGGCGCCTACCTGCCCAACTTCTACCCGGTCCAGATCCCAATGCAGATGGCCCCGCAGCAGGTGCCCGCCCAGATGGTCCCCAAGCCCGGCTCCCACCACAGCGGCAGCGGCTCCACCAGCACAGGGTACGTCACCACCGCGCCCTCCAACACGTCCGTGGCGGACAGGGCAGCCCTGCTCTCGGAGGGCACCGAGGACACACAGAATGTCCCAGAAGACGTGGCCCAGAGCCCCGTGCAGGAAGCGGAGGAGGAGGAGGACGGCTCCGTCCCCGAGACCGAGCTGCTGGGAGACAATGACACGCTGCAGATGGACGAGGCCGAGGTCCAGCTCGAGGCCTGAGGCTGGCCGGGCCGTGGCGCGCTCGGGGGTGGGGGGAGACGAGCCGCCTGGAGGAGTGAGCCCTGGGCACTGGTGGGCTGTGAGCATGTCACTGTGTGAAGCCCTGCTCTGTCGTCCTCTCGTGCACAGAGCTGCGCTGTGGCCACCTGTTTGGTTGGAGGGTCTTTTAGCCAATGGTGCCTGGCCAGGCAAGGTTGGCAGGCCCAGCAGGACGCACGGGGACCCCCAGGGCCACCTGCATTTCCCCGGAGGTAGATCAGCGGTGAGCACTGCCTGTGCATTGAAGGTGGCATCTTCCCTCCACGTCGCACATGGATCGAATACTTCCAGACTTTGGGGGAAACAGGCCTGCAGAAGGCAGCAAAGTGGGACCACGGGCTTTGCAAGTCCCAGCGACTGGCCTGTTGGATGAGGATGGAGAAGGATGCTTTTCTCTCTACTGCCCCCTGCGGGCGACAGCCTGCCTTCAGCCACCAAAGATGTGCAGGAACAGGACATGCCTTCTGCCCCCTGTCAGGGTCGGATGAGAAGGGGCTTCTGAGATGGGAGCTCCGTGTTACAACACAATGTGCCTTAGAAGAAACCCACACGACTTTGTCTTTTTGTGAAATGATTTGAATTACCCTGCATGTGTATTTTGCCCACTTTTCTGGAATTCAAGGGAAAGTTTTATGTTTTTTTTTTCGGGGGGGGTTGGAATGTTAGAAAGGCAGCAATATTGTACAGAGCACAGTATTGTTATTTTTTTTTGAAGAATCATGTACAGACCTTAAATGTAATTTATACGGTTTTTGTATGCCATTTTCATTGAAGTATTTTGAGCTGAAAATAATGACGTGGTAATTTAACTGTTCACGGTCCCCACTTTGGGGGGGCCACCTGATTGCGCTTCGGTTTGCTTGTGTTTGTACCACACGTAAGCGAGGTCCGTTCACTTCAGAGCTCCCGTGGGAGAAGGCCCACGGGCGCGCCGCCGCCGACACGCGGGACAGAGTTCGCGT